GTTGTCCTTTGTCAGATTTATACAAGGAGGATTGGGGATTTTGAATATTAATTTAAGTCTATATGGATAGTGTCATTTTGGACAAAGCCCTTTAATCTTTGGCCCGTCCGTGGAAGTAAATGATGCAGAAATCGCAGCAATTGTACCAAATGATTCCACTGCAGATTTTGGCCTGGCATCTCGCAGCATCAGGGGAGCAGAGTGGGGCTGCTGCTGTGATGCTGGGAGGGTGGATGGGTTTCAGAGCAGAAATGCAGCTGGGAAAAACCAGCTGGAATAGAGCACAGGAAACACAGTCTGAGAAACAGTCCAGAAGCAAAAAGAAGAAAGGACAGTAGAAATAATTTCTGAGAGGGGAATGGGAGCTGGAGTGGATTAAAACCAGAACATTGTTAAACAAACTGACACCAGAGCAGGGAAGGAATAACATAAACAGAAGGAACGGCTCACCAAAACAGCACAGAAGAACCATCCCTCTATTAGCAGCACCGGGGCGAGAGTTGTGCAAGAGCAAGGGGCAGCGAGTCGGGGGGGAAAGAGGGGGCGAAGGACACAGCAGTCCTGACGCGGCCGTGCCGGCTCTGCACAGCTGGGGTGGGCGCAGGGCTCCCTCGGCCGGGGACCACCACCCCTCCTGCCGCGGGGACCCTGCGTGCGGCATCGCCCTCCCTGGCCATGTGCTCAGGAGGCCGTATGTGAGGACGGAGCCGTGGCAGGGCTGTCCCCAACTCCCCAGTGCCCACCCAGGGATGTGCCGGGACAATGCGTTGTGTTGTCAAACCGTGCTTGTCTGTGGGCCTCTGAACAGACAACAGGAATAATTTAAAGAGAGGATGAGACATTTTTATTATTCCCATGAAATTATATGGAATTATAGTTTTAAATGAAGTGACAGGTTTAAAATGTGTATTTGAGAGCAAAATTAATGCTGTGCTTTCTTGAGCCTGGAAGGTTGGCCAGTCAGGGGGTCATCTCCCGCTGTGCGCGGGGCTCAGGACACTGAGGGTGAAATCTGTTTGTACGGGAGCGGCTGCTGTTCCCGGCTAGTGCAGAAAGCGGCGTTGCTGGTGCCCAGCTGTGTGCGTGGCAGCTGTGGATGGTGCTGCCACGTCTGGCACAGCCCGTTCGGAGCCCGCACTGCACAAGGAGCGGAGACGTGCGCCCCTGCGAACACGCGGGGTGCCAACAGCAGACCCTGAGGACCCGCTCTATCCAGAGCACAAATACCTGCTCTGAAACAGATTTAAAGAGGTTAATTGGGCTGGGATGTACACGGTTGCGTTACATCTCTAATGAAAATGTTGATTCAAGAAGCCATGGCTCTAGTGATTTTTGTACTACTGTAATTATTTTTAAACTTTCTTTTTGGCACTGTTGATAACAGCTTGGCACCGTGCCTGCATGACCTGATTAAACTTACAAATTGTCAGCCTTGATCTATAGGACGCAGAAGAGATTGCTGACTGAGCATGGCTTTGGAAATTCTGGATTTAAAACAAAAATTAGATTTAAAATGTTGTTCCCAACAATACAGTGCAAGAGCACTGGCGATTTTAAACACATACTCAGTATCCCAGCGTCGCGATAGCAACCCAATTCCTGCACGGCAAGGGCAGGTTTAATTCCTTCTTGTCCATCCTCAGCCTGTGAGCAGACGTGCTGCCCCGCAGAGGAGCGTGGCTGCCCTGAGCCAGGGGCTGCCGCAGCCTCCGCACCCCGCTCCCCACTCCCAAGGCGGTGCTCCTCGTTCCCTCTCCTCCGTTTCCCTCCTCCCACGTGAGATTTCAGCCCCACCGGTGTGGAGCCAGAGGCCGTGAGCGCGTGTGGGAATGGCTGCGTCCACGGGATGCGTGGTGGTGGGAGCCGCAGCATCTCCCTGCTTTTTGCCTGAAGTCTCCTGTAGCGGAGGACCAAGTGGCAACTTTTTCCCCAGGCATTTTAAACTAGCGCCTGGACCTTGTAGGAGGGATGGAACCCAGTGGTACAAGTCTCCGTAAGAGTAACATGGTGCTTAGATCCATTTGGAAGGAAATGAGAAGGAAATAAATTCTTTCCAAATAAATAATGCATTTACTTTTACCACATGGTCTTGCATCAAAGTGATATAATGTACGGGATAATGCCAGCCTTGCGTAGATTTAGCTCTGTCTTGGAAAACAACCGGAAGGCGTATGTCTCTGTACTCACACGAATGCTCCTTTAATACTTACAATGAGGTGTTTAAAGATGCTGAAGGTTTTA